TTCTTTTTAAGAGCTGCTTATATATATATATATATCTATCTATATATATATATATATATATATATATATACTTTTTCTTACAAGAGGCAACAGGTGAAATAAGATCATTATATGTTCTGGATATTGTTTCTATATCTGTATATACATATGTATGTACACGCATACATACATACGCGCACGCACACACACATATTATATATATATATATATATATATATATATATATATATATATATAAGATAAAGGAATAATGTGTGTGTGTGTAAAGTTCCTTCTTCAAGAGACAACAGGTGAATAAATTCAACCTCTAGACATGAAATAAGGTCATTATATGTTCTGAAGATTGTCTCTATATCAGTATATATATGTATGTACATACACGCAGACCCACATACATACACACGCAAACACACATATATATATATGAGGTAAGGAAAATATATATATATATATATATATATATATATATATATATATATATATATATTCATTCTTCCAAGAGACAACAGGTGGTGAATAAATTCAACCTCTAGACATGAAATAAGCTATCTTTATATCTTCCTGACTTATGAAAGCTATCGCTATTAATTTCCGTATTTCTTTCTTTATTTAATCAATTTCTTGTTATGCTTTGACCGATATTTTCAAAGTTCTATTTTATCTTGGCGCTTACGAAAGATGGAGACGATACAAGTTAAATACTTACGTTTTTCTTTATCTAGTTATGGAGAAAATCAATTTTTGCTATCTCCTTCTAAATTTTCAATTTTTAAATCTCTTTCAAATTTTATTCTCTATCTTCATGAGATAATATTAATCAGCAGAAGCTGGCTGAACAGGAACAAAGAAATGTGTAAACAGGAATGACTGTGTAGGAAGGGGAATACAGTAGGAACGATGCAAAATCACGGGTTCGAAGTTTTAAATAAATCTGATCAGTACAATTTAGAGGATACTTTGACACACAAACTCCACTTTTGACCAAAATTCAAGTGATATCTAGAATTTCCGGTGGGGATTTTTCACTTCATAAGATAAGTGTGTCTGTTTAAATAAACGTTTCACAGGAAAAATTTATCTAAATTATGTCTACTAATATTATTTTTTATATAATTTATTTCTACTAATAAACTTTTTATATTAATTATTTCTATTAATAAACTTTATATAATTTATTTTTTTTCTAATGAATTTTATGTCATTTTCTACATTTTTCTATTTATAAACATTTTATATAATTTATTTCTACCAAAAAAAAAAAAAAAATTTAACACAATTTATTTCGACTAAAGAATTTTTGATATAATTTATTTCGACTAATAATTATTTTATATAATTGTTTCTTCTGATACAATTTTTTATTATTTATTTTTACTCATTTCTACTAATAAACTTATATAAAAATTATAGAAACTGAATATAATTAATATTGGAGAAAATAATCGTGCTGCGTAGAAACTTATTACCCCCCCACCCCTCAAAAAAAAAGCGATCTGTAACAAATATGTATTTGCCGCGAGCAAATAGTTTAATACTACCGGTTCTTTTATTTAAAAAAAGCAAGAATAAATGACTGTAGGATGGAGGTCAGATATAGTTATTGCGAAAAAAATAAAATTGTCCCAAATCATTGACCAGCTCCCGCCACCGTTACAGCAGAAAAAAAAAAGAAAAGATTGAAATAAAATATAATTAAATAAAAATGAGAATAAAAAAGAATTTTTTCGCGCGAAACAGCAACGTAATATGATTTAAAAAAAACAAAAAAACCTGCGTATATAAAAGTAAGCCTCATAGTCCAAAGACCGGGAACGAGTGAAATAGAAACTTGAGATGAGGCTATGGCCAATATCTGCGCGAATAACGAATGTAATATTATCGTCTCGTACGAACCAATAAAAAAACGAGAATCAGTCTATTTACCCTATTTACATTATTTGGACAGTTGTCCTCATCTTTATTAATATATTCACGACGTTTCGGGCGTTCTCCGACCTTCTTCAGGAGATACATGTTAGAACCAACGTATTTAGACACTGGGCTCTGTGTCCTTGGGGACACGACTTTTCGGCCGTTATGGATAAAAGCGTTGGTTGAATAATCCAAAAGTGAGTTGAACCAAAGAGTTGTGAGTTCAATACCTGGCTACAGCAGAGGCAACAAGCTGAAACTTTAAATATCCGAAATTTTTTTTTTCAAAAAGCATAGTACGTGGGAATAAAACAATCTACCCATGTGGACTAAATAAAGGGTTCGATTTGAAATCCCACTATACATCACCTGAAGAAGGTCGAAGCGTACAATTACCGAAGAGTCGTGAATATGACAATGAAAGATGAAGACAACAGTCAGAATAATATAAATAGTGTAAATAGTTACAATATCTCATCTCATCGAAGGCGCAATCGAATGGCGAAATATGCTTTCTAGAAGCGAAGCAAAGAATTAAGAAAAAGGAGAATTTCTTTAGAAACAAAGAAAGGACTACTGAACTCTTATATAATATCAGTTCTATATGACATTGAATACTGGAAAATTTCCTCACAGTTGAAGAAGAGACTTGAAGGAACAGAAATTTGGTTCTACAGAAGGATGCTGAGCATACCATGGCCCGAATATTTTAGAAACGTTAAAAGTTTTAGAGTAAATGGAAGCAAAAAGGACATTTATAATTAGCATCAGAAAGATGCAGTTGAAATTTGATAGGGTGCATAATGAGGAAAATGGCTTGGAAATTTTGATGCTCACAAGTCAGATTGAAGGCAAGAGAAACCTAGTTTCGGATCCTAATCTAATGTGATCTCTAATCTATAACATAGTAGCTCGTTCCCGGACATGACCTCTTGCTCCGACCCGTTTGTATTGCTTTAACCTCCATAGAGCCAAACGGTAGTTTATGCTGCAACTACACTGATCGGAGTTAAATCAGAATTTAAAGCATTTGATTCTTCAAGACCACATACGGTTCTCAATTCAGATTTTTTACTCCTACACTGGTAGCAAACCTCGGCAAGCAACCGGAGACACACACTGTCAGACGGAAACTGACGAAGTCAAGTGTTGAATAGAATATCATGTTACTTTTTGTGTGTGCCGTATACCTTAAGGTGGTTGGGCATCTTGACACTCCACAAATTCTTGCCCAATGTAGTTCATAATAAGTTTGGACCTTTTCTTATCTCCCCTAAACATCACAACATCTATCTATCTATCTATCTATCTATCTATCTATCTATTTCAGTTTGTTCATATCTATCTATCTATCTATCTATCTATCTATCTATCTATCTATCTATCTCAGTTTGTTCATATCTATCTATCTATCTATCTATCTATCTATCTATCTATCTATCGCACTCTGTTCAACATCTGTCTATCTATCTATCTATCTATCTATCTATCTATCTATCTATGGCATTCTCTTCAACATCTATCTATCTATCTATCTATCTATCTATCTATCTATCTCATTCTGTTCATATCTATCTCATTCTGTTCATATCTATCTACCTATCTATCTGAATTTCTGGGATAATGAGTGGTCATTATTTATGCTATTTACATGCAGTATATTGTCGTAATCTTTATTATTGTTATGATTCTTTTGATTGAAACATTAGTGATGCTATGAAAAAGGCTAATGAGAGAAACTACGAAAAGAATCAATTTGTTGGGAGTAATTGAATATGGCTGATTAATTTATTTTTAGCTGTTATTTATTAGCTAACGTAGTTTTCTCTGGTAAAAGACCACGGAAATAGAGCATGCAACAGGGAAACAATTCACTGCAATAACAAGTGCATGCGACATTCACTTCAGGGTAATTGCGTTCGATTTACATATTTGTACATATACATCGAATATATAATACATACATACGTACATATATATATATATATATATATATATATATATATATATATATATATATATATATATATATATATATATATACATATATATATATATTATATATATATATATATATATATATATATATATATATATATATATATATATATATATATATATATATATATATGTATGTATGTATTATACAAAAAAAATCGCATTACCTCATGTGGATATAGTCTATTTCAGACCAGCGCAATCATATGCATATTATAATAGATACAGTGAGCGCTCTGTGTGAGTCAGTTTTAATATCTAATATTATTAAGATCTACCTGGATTAAGACCTAATCTATTATCTGTACTATAACCCCCCCATATATATATATATATATATATATATATATATATATATATATATATATATATATACGTGTGTGTGTGTGTGTATATGGAAATACAGAATTGTCAGTGATCAGGAATTAAGGCAATGATTACTGAAAGAACAGTGCTATTGGATGCATAATCTAAAACCTGCGCTAATCGTTTTTCTTAAGAAATATATTGAAAATCTGGGATAAAGGGCTCGTCAGCTGTGACGGCTAAAATTAACGATTACTGAAAGAATACATTTGTGTATAATAGGGCAGAGATATGTACATCTAAATGCACTATATATAAGTGCATATATGGAAAGTGCTTTCTACAACTGGATTTGTTTACGTTGGGAAAGAAAGAAACATTTTCAGTATACTTTCGCGTTCCTTTCTACGACAAATGGAAAATTGCCTCGAGTAATAAGCAATTTCTAAGTTAATCTTATGACCATGAAATTCTCTTCGGAAAATACGAATAAGTAAAGAACAAGCTAACAGCAGTCACGATACCTCGGTCAGTCGAGTGGGTTAATTTGAATTTGGTAACATTAGACAACCAAGGTGATTCGGGTGTCACATCAGGGTACTTAGGAACATTCTCAATCGGGGACTAAATTACCCGACCTGAAGGTATTTCTAACTGGTAATGTTATATGCTGATTTTTATCAAAACCTAGACACCATATCATACACCTCTGGCCTGGCATCTATAACCTTTTAAATGGATGGAATAAATATCCTTATTCCTGTCTTGTGTGTGTGTGTGGGGGGATGTACATCCTGTGTTCTTACCAACTTACATTTACAGCCTTTTTCTCTTGCCCACAATTCATCTTTCCTTTCGCCTCTTCTTTTTATCTTTTTCTATCTCTCTCCGTTTTCTCTCTTTCTCTCCCTTATTTCTCTCTTATGTGACACTGAAATCTGAAGATACATCGAGAAAGCCAAAGATGCATTCCAAAAGCTAAGCAGAGTATTAAGAGAGAGAAAATATCGACGAGAAACAAAGAAAAGAGTAGTGGACTGTTACGTAATAGCTGTCCAACCTATAAGTCAGTGAATGCAAGAAAATCTCCTCAAAGATGAAGAAGAGACAGAAATGTATCTACAGAAGGATGCTGAGGACTCAATTTGCGGAATATGTGAGCAACAAGTAGGTATTGGAGAAAATGGAAACAAAAACGAAACTAAAATTTAACATCAAAAAGAGAAAATATTTGCAATTTCTTGGGAACATAATGAGGAATGAGGGCTTAGAAAATCTAATACTCACAGGGCAGATTGAGAGAAAGAGGAACAGAGCAATACAGTGCATAATATGCTTGGTCAGCTTGAGCAATTTCGGAGAAATAGCAAAAAGACAAAATTTGTTTAGAGCTTCAAGGGACAGGAAGTTGTGGAGGGCTATGATCGCCTATGCCCTGATAGGACACAGTACATAAAGAAGAAGAAGAAGATGCGCTTATCAGACAGGGTAACCTGGTAGACATATAAGATTTTGTAAATCTTGCTTCTTAACTTCCGGAGTGCCTCACCAGAATTAAACAGCAATATGCAGACTTAGACAAAATTCATATTTGCCTAATTTTTAGAATTAAACTACGCCAAAATGTACTTAATAAGAAACATATGTTACTCTGTGGTTATTATTTATTGGAATTCGATGAATAATAAGAACACCACTTCATGTCAGAAATTCAAACCATAAAAGCAGGCCAGGGTATACAACAATTGAATTGTATGAAAAGTCGAGCAAACAGGTTCATATTGAAGTTAACCTCTAACAAAAATCCCTCTCAGGAGCGCATCGGTATTAGATAATGTCTAGCGTGTCTAATTGGGGAAAACTATAGTTATCAATGGCGTAGGCGCAGTTTCAAACTTGACATTTGTAAATAAAAACTAACTAGATATAACTACAGTATTTACATTAGTCGGACTATTGTCCTCATCTTTGTCACCATATTTGTCACAACGTTTCGGCCGTTGTACGCTCCGGCCTTCTTCAGGTGGTTGGAATTTCGAACTGAACCCTTTATTCGGCCGAAACGTTGTGACAAATATGGCGACAAAGATGAGGACAATAGTCCGACTAATGTAAATACTGTACATAATACCTCATCTCAGAAATATAGACAAACTCTAGATATAACTATTTATAAAATCAGAAGTCGATGGGACACTATATTTATACCATGAACAGGACCTTATTTCTAAAATGATAAAAATTACTTTTTTTTTTATTCTGACAAATATGGTGGGTAGAGAACGTTTTAATAAATGCTAATTTACAAAAACAATTTATATAGAAATAAAGTGTCGCTGCCGACACTTGAGTTTGAACATAGATCGCCAGTGAGCAAACACAAGCGATCCCATTATTGAATTAAGTGGATCCCGTGACCATAGAGGAAACGCATATATAGGAAGTCGCGTGACGTCCAGATTGATCTCTAATTCTAGTCTATCATCCTGTACTATTCGGATCGCTATTTCTAGTCTATCCTCTATTACTATTCGGACCGCTATTCTCTACTTTATTCACTATACTATTTCTCTATTCAGATACGGTTTACTATTTGGGCGAGTATTATCGAGCAAGTACTATTAGTGCGAGTGATATTCGAAGGCGACTGACACCAGTATTGTTCAACGGCGTTACTATAGTTGTATCTGCGATTACAATGTCTCTATGACAACGAGCATTACGAAAGTGACAACGAGTATTCGTTGACGTTACAAAAGTGGCAACAAATTTTCGTTGACATCACAAAACAATTAAAAAGCATATATGGGATTTTTACGAGTAAACCAGTCAATTTAAGTCGTGCCTGCTATCCTTTATAAAGCATATGGTTACCTGCACTGATGTCTTCTGGTTGAGAAATACAGGCTGTTCCATAATGATGGAACATATTTTAAATGTAAGTATCTTGGATTCTAAAAATGACATAGAGTAGTAAATATATTTATTACATAACTGATATACAGATTTTACTATTTCCTGCATCTATCTGATATCACTCTTGCTGAAGATGGGCCCTCAAAATGCCAGGGACTCCAACAGAAATTGTATATATGCATGTTCTCTGCGTTGAGGTGACTATCTCATGAATATTCAAATCGTAGATAATATATTGAGTATTCTACGTCATTTTTATAATCCAAGATACTTGCATTTAAAATGTGACACATCATTATGGCACACCCTGTATTAGTACCAGTTATATAGCATTAGAAAGTAATGAAATGTACTTGTAACTAATAAACGCAGAATGACTAACATTAAAAATGTTTATATTGGACTTATATATTTAGTTCTGGATTAAAAAAATAGATAATATAAAATAAAAAGAATATTCGATATGCAATTACCCAGTAGAGATTATAATGGTAAACATACTAACTTAACCTAACCAATTACTACGGTCATAGATTAGTTAGTAATAGTAATGAATAAAAAAGTGCGAGAAATGGAACTGCTATCACTTCTACTAAGATATTTAATTTGCTTATACGAAATGATTACTATTATCGAAGTCATCTATAGATAAAAAGAAAAAAATATCTTTGGGATTTTATTGATCGATCAAAAAGTCTTCATCAGTTATGTGAATGAATAAAGACATTTTATGGCGATGTCGTTCTCTTATCTGATATCTCGAAAGAAATTGTAAAATCAGAGTTTTTTTTTGTTGTTGTTGTTTACTGCCATTACTACTAAAATTAAAAATAATGAAGATAACGATTATATTTATTCTCTCTTTGATTAAGTCATTGTCCGTCGAAAATTCGATTGCCAAACAAAGTAAATCATTATTTACATACTGTCTCAAAAGTCACCAAGAGATTTAAAAATTTAATAACTCCTTTATTTTTTAACTTTAATTCACAATACCATAGTATTATAGAAAGTTGATATGGGAAATAAATTTAGACTAGTTGAGAAAGGTTACAGATTTTAAGTGACGTCCATTTTTAATGCATTTTCCATCACAGGCTTCAGTGTACCAGGCTCTGTTTTGATGCTTGTCCGAATGTTGCCCTTCAGTTTTTGGAGAGTTTGAGGTTTGTGGACATACACCTTTTCTTTAGGAGAGCCGCGTAGGAAGAATTCGTCTTGTCAGGTGCGGCAAACGTGGTGGCCAGTTTATGACGCTAATTATACTTTTCCCGCATATTTCCACAGGAAGCTGGATTGTGGCCCTTGTATGAGCTTTCGTCCAATCTTGTACGGAAACAGGTTGATGCAATTCAAAATTCGTTGTAGTGATATCCTAGAGATCCAAACCTGTCGAGACTGCGTCCTTCGTTGCTCTCCATTGCTTGCTGAAGTATTCCTTCGTTACTCCCCCTTGTTTGCTGAAGTATTCCATCATTACTCTCCCTTGCTGAAGTATTCCTTCGTTACTCTCCCTTGCTGAAGTATTCCTTCGTTACTCTCCCTTGCTGAAGTATTCCTTCGTTGCTCCCCCTTGCTCGCTGAAGTATTCCTTCATTACTCTCCCTTGCTCGCTGAAGTATTTATTCATTACTCTCCCTTGCTTGTTGAAGTATTCCTTCGTTTCTAACCGAACGTGGGCTGCAACGACATAAAGGGCAACTTACGGTACCTTTAATCACAAAATTCACAGAATCTCTCGCAGCGTAATGGTTGAATTTGAATTACTGATTCTTGCTTTTGGGGGGGGGTTAACATTTCACCCCAAGCAAGGCGGGAGTGCCACTAGCACGTGAGGAGTTGCATATAGTGAGAGCAAGTGTAAAGAGGAATGTTTGAGGAAAGGACGGGGATCAGGATCAAGGCATCAGAAGATGTCTATGGACATTACATTTGATTATTTGAAGAATAAACAGGGAAACAACTAAGAGGAAGAGAGTTCCACTGGCGGGAAGAGCAAGAGAATAAGTTGTTGGAGTAGAAGAGGCGGTTACGTTTAACTGTTTCAACAATAAAATGGTGGGAACGAGATGCTGACCTAGTAGCACGCTTAAATTCATGCAGTTGCGGTACCAGTGAAAGTAGCTAGTTAGAGCTGTTACCATGAAAATATTTGTAGAAAAGACAGAAGGCAGCTACATCACGTCTGTGATAAAGTGACTGTAAACGAGGTGTCAGATCATGGCCTATCACATTGCATTTCCGTCGATTTTGTCGAGAACCTCGAGATGAACAGCTGGGGCACCAGACCATATATGGCAACAATATCCAATGCAAGGACGATTTGCAGATTTGATCGACGGACTCAGGCGAGAAAAAAAAACCTTCTGTCGCAGTAGATGCAGCTATTGATTCAATGTAGTTGTTCCACCTCAGGTCAGTGGAAAACGTGAGACCAAGAAGGCACAGAGAGACGCTCTCGTGGACTTGGGCATTAACTATGTTGACATGAGGCACGGAGGGTTCTCTATCGTAGAAAGAGTTCATTACTTGTGTCCGTTTTTTTACTCTTGTTTTTTTTATATTATTAATTTCCAGATCCTTCTTTATAAAATACCTGAAGGAAAACAAACAAACAAAAAGTTTATAAAAAAATTTTTTTTAACTTTCCAGAGCTCCGGTGATTTTTGGGAACACTGTATTTCAAGAAATTCAACATTAGTAATTTAACTGTAGAGAATAAGGAATTATTTGTCACAGTTATTCAGCTTTTTACCGTAATGAATCGCCGATGGAGATTTTTGTGCGTCACAAGATTCAAGTTCTCTTGCCGCCTCATCCGGTTTGTAACAATTAATGAGAGCCCTGGAATATATACATCGTTGAAAATAAAAATAAAATGGAGCTTTCGTTTACATTCAGAGCTGAACAGATTACTGAGGGAATTTAACATTGCTTCAGAGTCTATAGTCAAGAAGTATATTACATAAAATCATTGTCATATGACAGCCAACATACTAAGAGGTTTATAATGGTCATAAAGTGGATGAAAAAGTAAAATATTGAAAGAGAAAACTATAAATGATTCTGTCTTCCTGATTTGTACGGGAATTAGAAAATATATCAGTTAAACTATTTACATTGTTCGGACTATCATTCTCATCTTTGTTGCTATATTTATCACAACGTTTCGGCCGTTGTCAGCCCCGAAGTAAAAGTATTGAACATTGTTGATAGAAAAAATACAAGTATAAAATATAATATTGCTGAAATTATAATATATTAGTAATTCTTGACACAATTCGTAGCCACTGTCAATCCCATTTTCTTTATTAGTAATGCATTCATATAGTAAAATCTTTAGCAATGAATTTGTGTTTTTTAATCATTCGTATTGAATTTACATTGTAAAAATATTAGTAATGCATTTGCATTGTAAATTCATCAGTAATGCATTTGCATATTAAAATAATTTGCAATGTATTTGTATAATAAAAGAATTAGTAATGCATATATACAGTAAAAACATTAGTAATGCAATTGTATTTTAAAATCATTAGCAATGCATTTGCATTGTAGTAATTATTAGTAACGTATTTGTACTGTTAAATTTCTTAGTAATGCATTTGCATTTTAAAATCATATGTAATGCATTTGTATTGCATAATCATTAGTAATGCATTTGTATTGTAAATCAAAAGTAATAGAGTTTCATTGTAGTAATCATTGGCAATGCAATAGTATTGTAAAAATCATTAGTAACGCATTTGCTTTGTAGTAATCATTAGTAATACATTTGCATTGTATTAATCATTAGTAATGCATTTTCTTGTAAAATTATTAGTAATGCATTTATATAGTAAAACCTTTAGTAATCATTTATATAGTAAAATCATCAGCAATTGTATTCGTATTGTAAAATCATTCGCTATATGGTTACATTATTTTTTATTACAATGATCTTTCATGTAAACATACGATGTCATTTAATGAAGCTAAAATAATATCCTCATGTTCAGATGTCTTACTCGTATCAGAAATCTCAAATGAAATTGTCGAATCGGAGACATTTTTATACAACGACTTATACTGCTAATTTTTTATGATAAACATTATAATTTCTAAATTGATATATCAGTCGTTGTCTGTTGATTTTTAAAATATAAAATATTTAGTCCGCAACAGTAACAGTAATATTGTCCATTTCCTTATAAGGAATAATTTGGCATTTACTGGCCTAGCAGTCAGTGCTACTGTCGTTCCAAATTGATAAAATATTTCTCTTCAAACAATTCTTCGGGAAAATGGGTTTCTTAAGTCCAGTAACTGCTATCGTTCTTTCCAGTATTGATGGGGAGCTTCCTTGCTAACCTTTTTTTGAAGCTGTTTGGAACATCGACGTCTTGATTATATCATTATTTTCTTTTTGAGTTATATCGTGTGATATAAATTTCTTTTAATCTGTGAGGAGATTTTTCAAAATGCACTGCCATACATGACGTAAGAGTTTAGCACTTTTTTCTTCGTTTCTAACGAAGATTTTACCATTTCTCAATACTTCGCTTAGATTCTGTTTTCCGCTATTCCAGTTCGCCTTCGGATTTTGTTGTTGCATCACATTTAGAACAGGCAAGAATACCGTGAAAGGTTCGGGTAGAGAGACACCCTCTATTCGTTAGAATATTATTTCAAATAATATCCAAACCCCAAATACAACGGTGAATCTATCTATTTATCTATCAATCTATCTATCTATATATATATAATAAAATTGATTAAGTCCGACAATTATTTAATTTATTTTCTCTTTATACGATATTTTTATACATACAATTTATTTAAGTATAGGAATACAGGTTCGATTCCTGTCGGTGAACGCATATTTTCTACGAAATTTCTCTAACATTCTGGACAGTAAATGTAATTAATGCTGTTCGTTTAAAAAAGAAATCATTTAATTAAACAAATTGTATCCATAAAAATAATCTATAAACAACACACACACACACACACGTATGTGTATATATATATATATATATATATATATATATATATATATATATATATATATATATGTATGTATATTACAGGTTGTCCAGAAAGTTTTGCCCGATTCTTATTGATTTTTAATTTATTGTATTATTGCAGCTTTTATTTTATTGCGTTATTGCAGTTTGATCTTCAAGGCTTCAGGTACATGGCTTTTAGATTGAATCAGTATCAACAAATTGCTGCTGTCCATTAGTATCAGTGTTGGCTCAAAAGCAGCTGAGTCAAGTCGTCGGCTTAGTGAACAATTGGCCGAAAATTTTGGACACCATATATATATATATATATATTTAAATTTAAACTTCTGAAATATCCTTTTCTTGTAGACGATGGTTGAAAGCGCCTTATTGCTTTTGTAGACACAAGAACATAATATATGGTATCTTGTACGAAAACAGTAGAAAATCAATAAAATATTTTAACAAAAGAGATCTTTGGTGATCTTTATAAACTCTTCTTAATTCGGTGTTGATCATGGACAACTATGCTATATGATTACATGTTTGATGCAAAACTGATGTGCAATAAATGTCAACATTCTATACCGCTTATTCCAATAACATGAACGTTAGATAAACATTTCTAAAACAGAAAGTATGGTCTGGAATTGGAATGAGAATAGAGATGCTTTCTACACTGAATCCATCATAAGACTCCATAAATGTTAAATTGCTAAATTCTAAACACTTCTAATATGGCGGCGCCTGGGTAATAAATTTATAATAAGAGATAAGGAAGGTGAACACAGGATAGTTTGTGTCACAGGTACTTTTCGCCAGCTAAGTAATGGCCAAATAAACAATGATCTTTAATAGGCTCGCGGGATTTGACTTTCATATGGTTGATATGTATAATATCCAACTGGTTTAGAGATGTGGCTAGCGATGGCTCACACTCTGAATCTGTGATAAAATTTCAGAATATGAAACGAATAAATTCTGACACTTCTTTGGTGAATGGATCAGTTGTGACAAGGGCATAAGGAAATTGAACACAGGACAAGCTACTTTTGTCAGGGAAGGGACATTTTATCATCGCTAGTATAATATAATCTGTTACAGATTTATTTTCTCGTCTCCTTAACGACGTTAGTTCAGTATATAAAGCAAATTATTTTGGGCTTACCTTTTGACAAGTAATGTTCACGAAATATTCTTAAAGCTTGACGTCCGTCGTCCCTGGCTTCTCTCATTTTTAAAGACAAACTTCTGTCATCCAGGCATTGTATTAATTCGGCGAACACGGTCGCATTTCTTTCCATAAAATCATCATCTTCTTTCTGGTCATCTTGGCAAAGAATGATGTTATGAATTTTTTGTATTCTAAGGTATCCTAGGAATTTGACTCGTCTCCGGCAAAATACAGTCGTATTCTGGGCCCCTAACCTTTGTTAACCATGTTCATCATAGTTTATGAATATAGAATACAGCGCAGTACGTAATCTGTTCAATGAAACAACGTTAAAGATTAACACTCACCAGCAACGGTTCCGTAATTCTTCAGTCTTCGATATCAAAGGCTGGCAATGCATATTCGGAAAAAATCATGGCCGCTTTTATACACGTGGCATTGAATATTTTGAGCCTTCTGATTGGTTAACCCTTCTATTGGTGAACTATAAATTGAATCAGCT